CTGGTAAGTAAAAGAAGCCTGTGTTTCAAGTTGTATTATTCTAGTAAAATTATATTCTAGAAGAGAGAAAACTATAGAGACAGCAAACATATTAGTGGTTTTCAGTTGGAAGAGGAGTGTGGAGATGTTAATTACCTAAATAAAGCACAAGGGAATTTTTAGGGTGGTCACATTACGTTATAAAGTACTATAATACTGGATGCATGATACTATACATTTGACAAAAACATAGAATTTTATGACACAAAATATGGCCTTAATGTTTGAAAATTACATATGCTCACACTCACATACATACATATATATATTTATATATCATAAAATGTTTTAAGAGGTATACCTGTATTACCTATTGAATCTTTACAACAACAATCTTTACAACATTTCTCCATGAAATGAGAGATATTAGTTGGGTTTTGATATTTGATGATTGTATTTAACATTGCATTTGGCTTATGGGTAGGGTGATAGAGAAAATGTGGGTGAATTTTGGAGCATTTTACCTGATAAGAGCAAGGTAAACAACCATGATAATAAAAGAGAAATGCCAGGGTGATTTCCCTATAGAAAATCACCTCAAGATTCTTTGTGACCTGGACTTTGTACCTGGGACTCATGACAGGGAATCTAGAACTGGAGGGACTTGTCTCTCTTAAGGAGACAAACTAAGAGGCAAGCCCTTCTCATGGCCTCTCCTCTCTCCTAGAGATAATGCCAGTGCATCATCGCCAATGATGTTATGCTCCATATGGATAGAACATCTGACTCAGTGCTGTGGGCATCTCTATTCTCCAGGGAGTGCCTATGTTTGTACACTCCATTTTAAGGGAGTTGTTACAGTTTTAATCTCCCACTTCAGTGAGAGTGCGGGAAAAGGGAAACATTCTAGTGTAGATGAAGTACCTTATCTTGAAAGCTTTGCTTGCGAGTCTGGCTTTGGGTCTAGAAATGAGTCATTAAGAAAGAAATCATTTTATTGTGGCCATTTGATTGAGATTTAGGTTAAGGAGATAAAATAGACAACAGACAAAGAGAATTAAATGAAACCTGACTGAACCTGGAAGGCATTGTTGAGCCCAGAAGATAACAAGGTAACAATTTAAACAGACTCAGGTGTGTACTTCAACAAAGACTTTATTAAAACATATTTTCAAGTATTTCAGTAAGTGATGTGTGTGCATGTGTATACATATGTAAATGCTTTTAAAACTCTGTGTTGTCTTTAAGTCTTTGTCATTCAACTTACTTTATCCTTTTGCCTACTGTACTTTTATCTTAATCATCAATCTTGCCTCCTTTGCCATCTCTTAGCTGTCACTATTCTATAACTATCTTGCAGAAATTTACTTAAATTTGTATATTCCTCTGTTCTCCCGTCAGCTCTCAAGATGAATACTTTACAATTTATGCCTTTATCTAAAGGAGTGGTACAAAACACCAGATAAAGACTCCTAAAATTCCCAAGCTGTTGTTAAAATAAGCAAACAAAAACAAAAAACAAACAAAAAACTTAACTTATGGTTTACAGACCAATTCCAATGTTTTCCCAAACATTTCTAGATCTATATCTATCTATATCTATCTATCTATATATATATATAGATATATATAAGATATTTAACCAATGTTCTGTCTAAATATCACATCTATAAACTAATTTAAATTATTTCCTCATTGGAAATTTACACAAATATTACAATAGCAATCTATGACCAAGTGGAGAAAATCAAATAATTCAACTATTATAATTTTCTAACTTATGTTGTTCTCCCAATATGTTGTTCATATTCATTTTTAATTTCCTATTGAAATCTACAACATATATACTATAGTATTTTAATATTGTATATGAAGTTTCTTTTTTAAAGATATAATGTGATATTGACAACTTGAAAGAATCAGACTCTCTTTTAAACAAATTCTAGTTCCAAAATCTGGACTCCATCCATTATCACATAACACAAAGTCAGTTTGGGCTAATTGATCCAAGTTACAGCCACAGAAAATGGTTAATATATTTTTGGCTCCAAGTTACTACCCTTGTCTGTGTGTCACCGCTACCATTCACCTTCTCTTCCATGCAAATTTATATTTTTCTTTGCCCTCAAAACTGTCACAATCTAGTCAACTGAAAAATCTTTGATTATTGAACTTACTGTTTTGCTGTGAATAGGGTCAAAAAATAAAATATATGTTACCAAATTGGTTAATATTTTTGCACAATAGTTTAGAAATACTTGGAGGTTTTCAGCATGAGGTTTGAAGAATAACTATAGTTCTGAACTGCTAGAGTCTTCGAAAGAGAGAAAGTTTCTTGCCTAGGTCAATACTATTTAAGTTTTTCTGATCATTTTTTTCACTAACAGAGTATCATGGACACATAAAAATCCTGAGAAAGATTTACTAATCTATTATTAGCATTACTATATTCACCACACACCAGTCATTATATCTTAACATGTTTATTTTGAGAGCTACTATTATGTACTTGTTTTAAAGTGCTTAGAAGATATAACTGTAGTGATGCAGAAGTGGGTTTTTTGTTTTGTTTTTTTTTTTTCTCCACAAGTTGCTTCAGCTGAGGGAAAGCATAAGCCACTGCAAAACATGAGAGTGTCAGAGTGAAGGCTAGAAATAGTGTCTGTACTTTTGTTTTGGGGTTTCAAAGAAGAGGAAAAAATAGACAGGTTTAATTTTGGACATCAAACTAAAAACCTTTTGTACAACAAAAGAAACAACCAACAGAGTAAAAAGGTAATCTACAAAATGGGAGAGAATGCAAGCAAACCATATATTTGATAAGGGGTTAGTTTTCAAAATATTTAAGGGAATCTTAACTCAATTGCAAAGAAAAATCTAACAAACTAATAGTCTAATTTTAAAATAGGCTAAAGATTTGAATATACATTTCTATAAAGAAGATATACAAATGACTAACAGGTATATGAAATGGTGCTCAACATCACTAATCTCAGGAAAAATACCAATCAAAACCACAGTAGCACTTCATATCCATTAGGAGGACTATGATAAAAATCAAACCACAACAAAAGCAACAAAAAAAAATTAAACAGGAAGACAAATTTTGCCAAGGAAGGGAAGAAATTGGAACACTTGTACCCTATTGGTTGGAATGCAAAATGGTGCAGCCACTAGCCAAAATAAAAAATTAAAAATTTCAGTTGTCATCAATGAATAAGATCTAATGCGCAACATTGTGGTTATAAGTAACAATGCCATATTACACACTATTCCCCTGTGGTTGTCATAGTCTAAGCCAGTACTGTGGTATATTTGTATGGAGTGGTGGGATGGCCCCAGGCCACTGTTGGAAGCTCAGAAAAGGGGCTGGATGAGCCGTGGATGCAGCATTTGAGAGATTGTTCTGCTCAGCTCTGCCCACAGTGGTGGAAGTGGCTGCTTGACAAGGCTATTTAGGTGGTGGTCACAGGTGTCATGTCTGTGGGCATTCACTCAAGTCAGGTCTCCGTGTAATGGCAGTATGTGTCAGGGAGCAGCTGTGGCTAATGGGTCCGTGGTACAGAGCTGTGACTCAGGCATGGCATCACACAGTGTCATGGGGGCATGAAGCTCTGCAGCATCCATGGCTAGGATCTTGTTCTGCTGGTCAGCATGCAGGGCAGCAGGGATGGAACTGCTGGAAGGCTGGGTCTTTCTCCTCACACAGGTCCCAAATGGCTGCTACTGTAGGACTTCTCTAGTGGTACTGGCGCCACTCCTTTCGAATTCCCTGTTGGGGAGTTGTACCTGGTTTTCACTCACAAGCTTGGGAGAGCATCTGCTCTCCCTGCTCCCTCCCTGGCCTGGCAAGGGGAGACGTGGCAGCAGTTGCAGCAAAGCTTATCCCTATGTAGACCTGGTGCTCCAGACCTGAGAGGACAGAATGGCATCAGCTGTAACAACCCAGGAACAGAGGCCAGCATGTCCCTGCTGAGCCTGCTGTCTCATGCAACTTTACTGCACACTCTCCAAGCAGTTCCATGATCAGAATGAAGACCCACAGTGATGGTGGTGAGGGCCTCATAGCTTTCTCATAGTGGCTGTGCAGGAAGCATGAGGCCCTGGGGTTCTTTCTCTTCATTATCTCTCTTCTACATGTAGGCATCTTCCTCAGGTGCCTTCTGATCCTGGCATGTGGATCTCCCCATCCCTGTATCCTTCACTGTGAGTGTCTCTTGTCAGTTCTCTGATGATATACAGTGCTCTCTCCAAAAGAGTCCCTTTGTAGGTGGGCATCAACTTGCAACTTTCAAACCTCTCCTTGAAAGTAGCTTGTGCGAGAAGCTTCTAGCCTGACATCTTGGTCTCTCTTCTGCTATTTTCAACACCATTTGTAAAATCAAATAGTGAGGTTATCCCAACTACATCAATTATATTCTCCATGAGTCTATATTTCCTGGATTTAATATTGTCTACTCTAATGGCAATGATATCATTTCTGATGAAAGAGGTACATGTGTTGATTTAGTCTCTTTCTACCACTGGGTTTGGAATTTTTTAAATAATTTCATGCAAATTCTTCCTCCCAGGCTATAACAATTCCCTGAGAAATAGTTGTTTCCTGAGATAGAAAGGAAAATGCACATGTTAAAATTGCAAAGAAACCATACATGTTATTGTTATTTAAAATATTGTTAAGTTATATAGAATTTTTTGAAGAAAGGAAACAATACAAGATATATCTCAGTATACCAAATATCTAGTCATTTTTCTGACATTCTATTGATACTTGATAACCATATTGTACATATATGAAAATAAATACAATCTTTGTTGAAATCCATCAAAAACATCACGTACTTAAGTTTCCATAAATCATGAAGTTATATCATGGTGGGCCTGGTTATTAGAAAAAAATAAAACATATTTTTATATAATTTTATAGGAAACAAATAACATTGGATGAGAAAATACAGAGCATCTCAGTGAATGAGACATCTGCTCTATGGTTCCTGCAGCTGTAAAGGGGCCTCAGAAGCATGATCCCTCCTAACGACACGCAGGTTCACCCCTACTTTTTTCTCCTTCTGGGAATTCCAGGGCTAGAAGCTGTGCATATGTGGATTGGTTTTCCATTTTGTGTTGTATATTTCACTGCTTTATTGGGAAATATTATAATTGTTCTTATGATCCAGAAAGAAAAAAGTCTCCACCAGCCTATGTTCTACTTCCTGGCCATTCTATCATCTATTGACCTGGGCCTGTCCACATCCACCATCCCCAAGATGCTTGGCATATTCTGGTTCAACCTAAGAGAAATCACTTTTGAGGGCTGTGTCATCCAGATGTTCTTCATCCACCTGTACACTGGCATGGAGTCAGCTGTGCTTGTGGCCATGGCCTATGACCGCTGCGTGGCCATCTGTAACCCTCTTCGCTACACATTGGTGCTGACAAACAAGGTGGTGTCAGTTATAGCACTGATCATCCTTCTGAGACCCTTAGCCATTGCAATCCCCTTTGTTCTGCTCATCCTACGACTGTCCTTCTGTGGACACCACATCATCCCCCACACCTACTGTGAGCACATGGGCATTGCCCGCCTGTCCTGTGCCAGCATCAAAGTCAATATTGTCTATGGCTTATGTGCCATCTCTGTCCTGGTGTTTGACATCATAGCCATTGTCATTTCCTACGTTCAGATCCTTCGTGCTGTCTTCCGTCTACCTTCCAGGGATGCCCGACTCAAAGCACTCAGCACCTGTGGCTCCCACGTCTGTGTTATGTTGGCCTTTTATACACCAGCATTTTTCTCCTTCATGACTCACCGGTTTGGCCGAAATGTTCCTCAATACATCCATATTCTTCTTGCCAACTTTTATGTTGTCATCCCACCAGCTCTCAACCCTGTTATTTATGGGGTCAGAACTAAGCAGATCAGAGAGAGGGTAGTTAGAGCTTTTAGAAATAAATTATGAAATTTGGACTTCAGAGATTAAGAGGCTTGAATTGGAAAAAATGGAACTTATTCTCTACTCTCAAAATTGCAACACCATGATATCTGCAGAAAACAGTGAACTATGTGCAGATTTATAAAGTCTTTCATTTCTATTAGTGAGAAAAATAAGTCAAAAGAAATATTAATAAACATTTAATACAAGCATACCAATGTCAACAATTATGTGATAAGTAAAAAAACATTTACATAAAAAAGTACGTGAAGTTGATAAAAAGTGACTAGCATAATTATAATAGCAAACATTTATAGAATATATATTACAATTCAGGAATAATTTCCATAATTTTAAAAGTATTAACTCACCAAATTCTTAAAACTACAATAAGTAATTACTTCTTTGCACCCTCTTCCTATAGCTTAGGAAACTGAGGCAATGGTATGATGTGGAAAAGAATGTATACAGAAACAGTAACTGAAGAAAAATGGAGAGGTGAATAGATACTAAATTCCTTCCATCTGAAGAGATAGAAGCTTTATATTTAGCCAGGATGCTGCATAAACAGGACACAGACTCCTTTTTTACTTTTTTTTTTTAAGAAAGCAAAATTTCCCCCAGCCAACAACCAGGTTAGGGTTTGAATGAAAAATACAAAGTCACCCATTTTTTTTTTTTTTTTATCCATTTCAGGATAACATCTTGCCTGCATGGGTTGGCTTGGAGTGACATAATCTGAACATGAGAATGAACAACGAGAGAGGAGAGTAATAATATCATAAAACTAATTTTTATAGCTAATGAAACATAGCAGCGAAATGACAGTGTTAAATAAAATATTTATAGACTCATTAAACAAAAAGCACATATGCCCTCAGATTTTTTTTTACCACTATTTTCATTAAAATATTCAAAGAACCCGTAAATATGAAAGTAAGTATGAAGTGTGACTAAATTGTTAGAATCAGTCTCTGGATGAGTTCTTTAACAATTATCAAGAAAAGAGCAAATGCAGAGTCAATATTATATATTAACATTATTTTGGCATAAGTAACATTTTAATGTCAGTTGAGTAAACAAATACAACGCTGACATATTCAGAATAATTCCATATGATTTAGGAAACATGTAAACACTATGAAACAAGAGGTAATATTAATATTACTACTAATAATAGTGTCTGCCATTTCTTAACCACTTACAATGTTCTAGGAATTACATTTGGTTCTTTAGGTAGTTCACATTATATAATAAGTAGGTGGAGATTGAGAAGTTAAGTAACTTACTTAACTTGATAGTCATATAATTATTGTATAATTATATGTCTATAAATTATAGTCATATAATTATTATATAACACATAATTTGAAATAAATTATTTAGAGCCAGGAAGATTTCCTTAACCTTTCTGCTATGATTTAATGTAGAGACAGACTATAAAATAGGTAATTAAATTTTAAGAAAACATTTAGGAGTCAACATGAGATATAATTTAAAAAGAAATTATATAAAGCAATGAGCAGAAATTTCTATTAACTCAGAAATGTGAATGAAAGATGAAGAAGATATATTTGAAGAAATATATATTCCAAATATGAAGAGATCATGATGAAAACAATTAGAGAAAGTTAACATATATAAAAGCTAGAAATGAAGATGAACCACATGAAAATAATTGGTGTGCATATGAGACAAAATACAAAAGGGATTTCTGGCTCTCTAGGCACAGATGTGAACCAAGAGGCTTCAGAATGCTATCTCACACGCTCAGATAGCCTCGGTCTCTGAAGAGCCTGACCCAGGATGTTCTCAGGGGAGCCACTTCTCTTCATACAGTGTTCCCCTTGAGATACTGGGCAGGAAGATCATCCTGATACTGCAAGAAGAGACAGAACAGTGTTGCCGGGAGGGAACCCCAGGTCATATTTTATATTTGTGGGTGTCTCCCATGAAAAGGCTCAAACTACTGGGGAAGACCAGTGCAGTGGACATTGAGGAGAGTTTCTGGAAGTTATATCAGGTAGTACTACTTACACATATACCATAGGAAAAAGTGTCAGGCCGGTTTATTTCAGCTCCCACTAGAGAGAGGGAGCAACAAGTCCCTGTATGGTTCACTTTCCCTGCAGATACGGGCCTGAGTGAGTGATAAGTGTCTGGAACCATGGACTGTATCAGGGAGGTCAGCATGTTGGTCTACAGAGTGACTTCTTTGAAAGAGTTGCTGTATCTTATTAGCTGTAAGGCCTAGGGGATGGCATTTGCACTCTGTGCTGCAAAACAGGGATGTCAATAATTGCCTTATTTATGTATTAACCTGTGTTTAATAATGAGATTCTGTAAAGTGTTTTCACAGTTGGAATGATAAAAATGCAAATTTGAGCTATGGAGTCCCATTTTGTTCTGACCGTGTTGATTCTAACCCACATATTCCAAGTTCCAGAATGAAATTCAATTACTTTGTATATTTATCATAGGCAGAAAGTCTTTCTTAAATAAGTATCAATGAAGAGGTCCTGAAAGTTTTACCATTTGTTTCCTAACTAAATACACATGTGTACCTGGAATATTCTGAAGATGCTTTAAAACACAGGCTCCTAATCTAATTAGATGAGAATCCTCACTTTCAAATTAGACCGAATGACTCACTTCACACGATCCCTTCTAGGATAATGAATCTAATATCTATATTGTTAGTGAGAGGTGTTTTATTTAGAAATGAAATGTTATCACCAAGATCCATACCCATGGATAATAATAATGACAAAATATTCCAGCTAATATTACTAAGGACCCAGTGTTGAGGCATTCTGTTGGATACCTCATATGCAACACTAATTTTCTGACCATTAAAGCCACATACAAGATTGATACTATCATTATCTCCACTCTCAGGGAATGATTTCTCTAAGGTCATTTGTAAGTGGGAGTGTTAAGACATGCATCTATATTTGCCTGAGTCCAAAGGGAGGCTCTAGACACCAAACTAACTGATTCCCAGTCAGTCACAGTCGACAATGGGTTTTGATATAGAGTCCATGGCTGAATCAGACACTGAGTGGACATCTGTTGGCAAGAACAGTGTAGTAAGAGGATCTGCTAATTAATATCTGAAACCATGTAAAACATGGGACCTTCAAATAAATCCATACTTTCACAACTTTTGAGAAAACGGAGAAAAGGCTGGTTCATCTGTAAGGCTAACATCAATCAACGGATTGTGAATGTCAGAAATATTGAGAAAGTCTGGATCTCATTCTATTGAGGCTCACTGAAAATAATACAATAATGTATCATCAGTGTCTGCTTTAGACATTAGATATGTGATATCATTAATGATATATATGCTAAATATATGTAATCCCAGAATTAGAGCCACTATATGGGAAATTGTCCTATGACGATGTCCTATGATAATTGTCCTATGATGATGGCAGAGCCAAAGATTCAAAGGAGATTAATAACCTGCACTCAGCATGTTAAGAGAGGAGCTTTGTATGCATGGCCTCAAAAGTCAAAAGATCTCCACTTTTATGTAACCCTTTCTTTGCACTTCCTATCACTGAAACTTTCTGTTTTATACATGTGATACATGAGAGTTTCTAATGGGATCTACCATGTACTGCTACTATCTATATATAATTATTTTTCTTATTATCCTCGTCCAGAGGCTTTAAATAATTGTGAATTATAAATAGAAGACTTTTCTGCCTTAACTTATAATTACTATCTCTATATTAACCTTAGCAAAGGTGTTATTGCCCAGAGGAATTGTTGCAATAGGGATACAAATGTGTGCTCTAATTCTAACCATGCAACTCTAACCATGTTCAAGTGTCACCCCAGGCAAGTTCCTCAGACTCTCTTCACCTTAGGCTTGCTTTCCTGTGAAACTAGTATGATCTAGTTTATAGAGTTTTTATCATAGAGATGTTATCAAATTTGAATGAGAATATTTGTATAAGTACTTAGCACAGGCTCAGAAAATATATTTTCTTTGATGGACCTTTTGCTGTTATGCAAGTTCAGTGAAATAAAGCGGAGAGATATCTTTGTACTTGTCTGAATTGGAGAAAAATATATACCCTTTAGGCTATCCCTATTGATACAAACCCAGTTGATTAGGCCTCTGGCTTCCTGATATTAGATTTTAATTTTAATAATGGAGTAATTTGGTTGAATGTGTTGAGGAATATATTTAAGATGTTTTAGTGGAGCATAAAAATACTGTGACACATAAATGATAAACATAAATGATCAAATTGAACAATCTTGGATGAGTTAGTAGGATTCATCCTAGGATATAGACCTGGCATGCTGTCTGGCTTTGTACTTCATCATTATTTAGGGTGATCTCAGTTATCAATGAACTTGTATAAAACAATCATAAAGAATATATCACTATTAGCATTTGACTTAAAAGATAATTGTAAATAAGAACAAAAATATCATAAAAGCTAAACCCCATTCAAAACAGAAATCATCACCAAATATTTGATCTTAACATAGGTTATATATTTAATTTTATGTTCTTTGAGTGTGACTGTAAAATATTGTAGTCAGATGTTAAGATTTTTGGCTTTCCTTATTAATTATGTGAGATAAATTAATATTCTATTCAAATAAAATATTTCATTTCTAAAATAAATTCCAAAATTAATTTATTAAAGCAAATTATATTGTTTTTTTTCAGATTGTAAAATATGAAAGATAACATATATTTTGACTAGATTTATATTTTATGTCATTTCATTATAGAGCATTTGAAACATATACAACTAAACAGAGAAGCTAATACTCCTGGCATGTAATTTCAACAACTGTAAAGATTCTGCTATTTTTTCCAAGTTTGAATGTTATTTTTATTTTTGAGACAGTGTCTCATCCCTGTTGCCCCAGCTAGAGTGCAGCAACATCATCATAGCTCACCATTACCTCAAGTCCTAGACTGAAACGAATTCTCCTGTCTCAGCCTTGTGAGTAGCTGGGACTATAGGTGTAGCCACCACCCTCAGCCTAATTTT